TTTGAATGCAAACAGTTACACTTTTGGTTCTATAGACTTTAATGGAAATGCTGCAAAAAAGCATGTATTGCATTTTTGCTGCTTTTGTGCTGTGTTTTGATGCGTTTTGCATTTTAAATTTGTCTAGCAGCAAGAAAAATAAAAAAAAAACAAAACCCTGCAAAACGCATCAAAAACAAGTGCAAAATACGCAGTGTAGAAATCTTTCAAACGCAACCTGAATAGGTGTGAATGTAGCCTTGCACTGTTAGATGGTGTAGGCTAGGTTTACATCTATGCGTGTGCATTTTTTATGCAGTTCCATTGAAGTCTTTGGAGCCAAAAAACGCACTGTTCTGCGTGTAAAAAAGTCTGTGTACCTATTTCAAAAACGCACTGCAGGAAACTGCTTAGATGTGAATTGGACTCATAGGAAATATTGTTACATGGATTGTGGTGCATTTCTGAAGATCTGCAAATGCACTAAAAAACACAGAGATGTGAACTTTAGGCCAGCCATAATCGGGTCGAATCTCATCCGGTTCAACAGCAACTGGCCAAGATTCAAACCGTGTGTGGGCAGGCTGAATGTACCAAGCTGATCGATCCACTCGGGTACAGCCAGCCTGCCGGATTCACTTGTGATTATCTCTAATGGCTGCTATATTATTATATATTATTATTATACAGTATTTATAAAGCGCCAATAGTTCGCTCAGCGCTGTACATTACAAAGGGGGACAGAACATGTGACAGAACAATACCAATACAATGTGATACACGAGGGGTTCGAGGGCCCTGCTCTTTCGAGCTTACAATCAATAATCTTCTTCTTGCGGGGACTTTCCAAAAGAAATTTGCACCATCTATGGCCTGCCTTAGGAAGTATTTGATGCACAATGCACTATTTACATTTCATATTTGGCAACACCCCTTACGAAACGCATCAAGGAGGAGCCTTTGTATGCCGTGACGTCACTCCGCCGAATCACGGAGGTCCGGCGGCCATCTTTAAACTACAGCTGGTTAGTGCTTTCAGCAGCCTGGATGCTGCTTCATCCACAATTGTACACTATTTACCCATGTATGTGCACTGCATGCTATTCCTTTGTAATTTCCCAATAAATTTTGTTGCATAGTACACTATGGGCATACATTTTTCTTGCTCTGCAACCGAGCAATTAAATCCACCCAGGACCCCAGGTGATCCATCCGGACCAGAGGAGGGAAGCCTTTGACCAGACCCTATTGCTGTACACCCGTTAAAGGGGCCCTCTGATTGACATCTCAGATATCCAGAATACATAAAGGGGGAGGTGCAGAGCTAACTTAATGTGCTTAGGGTATATACACACATTCATATAAAACCGTATTAAGGTGCTAATAAAGTGCAATAATAGATGGCTATGGATAATAAGTATAGTCCATAACGTGATCAAGATCCCAAGAGAGTCTTCAAAGAACCCCAATGGCTGGATTCGTGGGTGAGGTGATAAATGTATAAAGATTGCGCACTCACCAGATACGCAATCCAAATGCGCATTCAAAGCAGATATTCCCAGGAGATCCTAGGGTCCTCATATGGGTCTGGTCAGATCTGGTCAGGAGCCCCTCGCCACTTAATAGTATTGCCACACATGAATGAAAAAAGGCCGCTCTGCAGATGTAAATGGCTCCCACCGGAGCCCAAAGAACAAAAGGAGGCCAAATAGTGTGATACCTTAATGGCAAAGGGGTATTTATTCCCAAAAAAACTCACAATACAGGCAGGAGCAGGAAAGATACTGACCATACATATAAGTTAGCAAATGGCCGCCGGGGCCCTCGTGGCGCCGGTCGGCGTGACGTCACACCGCTGTAGCCGCACCCTGACGCGTTTCGTGCGAAGGCACGTAGTCATAGGGGTTAGCGGCCTTTTTTCATTCATGTGTGGCAATACTATCAAGTGGCAAGGGGCTCCTGACCAGATCTGACCAGACCCATATGAGGACCCTAGGATCTCCTGGGAATATCTGCTTTGAATGCGCATTTGGATTGCGTATCTGGTGAGTGCGCAATCTTTATACATTTATCACCTCACCCACGAATCCAGCCATTGGGGTTCTTTGAAGACTCTCTTGGGATCTTGATCACGTTATGGACTATACTTATTATCCATAGCCATCTTTATTGCACTTTATTAGCACCTTAATACTGTTTTATATGAATGTGTGTATATACCCTAAGCACATTAAGTTAGCGCTGCACCTCCCCCTTTATGTATTCTGATTATTTTGGAGGTTTACACGGTACCTTTTTTGGTGTCCAGCTGCTATTGTCTCATTTTATTCAATTTTATTCATTCATTTTTATTATCTAATTTTAAGCGCTCACTTACCCTGAGATTTACATCTCAGATATCCAGTTCCACAGAGGAGGTGATCTCGTACCAGGCTGTACCTTAAAGGGGACCTCCGCTTCTGGCTTATTTGATCAATGCACATTAAGATTGCGCTTCCGGTGAGTGGGCAATCTTTCCATTCGTCGCATATCACCAGAATAATACTGGTTCACCGTGGGATATAGAAGCGTTCTCATCTATTAATATTTATTGGGGACTAATACTGTCACTTTACATAGATATATTACCACCTTTGGCACCTCAATCTAGTAATATATTATTGATTGCACTTTATCTGGACAATCGTGTCACCCACATTAGAGTCTGTATACAATATTGTTTATACCTCATGTCATGTCGTTCTTTTAGCTTTCAGGATTATCATTTGTATTTTTATTATAGCGCTGCACTTTTCATTTCTACATTGCCTATTGAGAAGGTTTGTGGTTCCTTTTTGGTGCATTAGCTGCTATTGTAAGCGCTCGCTGAATTTACAGTCAGGTCCATAAATATTGGGACATCGACACAATTCTAACATTTTTGGCTCTATACACCACCACAATAGATTTGAAATGAAACAAACAAGATGTGCTTTAACTGCAGACTGTCAGCTTTAAGTTGAGGGTATTTACATTCAAATCAGGTGAACGGTGTAGGAATTACAACTGTTTGCATATGTGCCTCCCACTTGTTAAGGGGACCAAAAGTAATGGGACAATTGGCTTCTCAGCTGTTCCATGGCCAGGTGTGTTATTCCCTCATTATCCCAATTGCAATGAGCAGATAAAAGGTCCAGAGTTCATTTCAAGCGTGCTATTTGCATTTGGAATCTGTTGCTGTCAACACTCAAGATGAGATCCAAAGAGCTGTCACTATCAGTGAAGCAAGCCATCATTAGGCTGAAAAAAACAAAACAAACCCATCAGAGAAATAGCAAAAACATTAGGCGTGGCCAAAACAACTGTTTGGAACATTCCTAAAAAGAAGGAACGCACCGATGAGCTCAGCAACACCAAAAGACCCGGAAGACCACGGAAAACAACTGTGGTGGATGACCGAAGAATTCTTTCCCTGGTGAAGAAAAACACCCTTCACAACAGTTAGCCAGATCAAGAACACTCTCCAGGAGGTAGGTGTATGTGTGTCAAAGTCAACAATCAAGAGAAGACTTAACCAGAGTGAATACAGAGGGTTCACCACAAGATGTAAACCATTGGTGAGCCTCAAAAACAGGAAGGCCAGATTAGAGTTTGCCAAACCACATCTAAAAAAGCCTTCACAGTTCTGGAACAACATCCTATGGACAGATGAGACCAAGATCAACTTGTACCAGAGTGATGGGAAGAGAAGAGTATGGAGAAGGAAAGGAACTGCTCATGATCCTAAGCATACCACCTCATCAGTGAAGCATGGTGGTGGTAGTGTCATGGCGTGGGCATGTATGGCTGCCAATGGAACTGGTTCTCTTGTATTTATTGATGATGTGACTGCTGACAAAAGCAGCAGGATGAATTCTGAAGTGTTTCGGGCAATATTATCTGCTCATATTCAGCCAAATGCTTCAGAACTCATTGGACGCCGCTTCACAGTGCAGACAGACAATGACCCAAAGCATACTGCAAAAGCAACCAACAAAATTTTTTTAAGGGAAAAAAGTGGAATGTTATGCAATGGCCAAGTCAATCACCTGACCTGAATCCGATTGAGCATGCATTTCACTTGCTGAAGACAATTTGAAGGGAAAATGCCCCAAGAACAAGCAGGAACTGAAGACAGTTGCAGTAGAGGCTGGCAGAGCATCACCAGGGATGAAACTCAGCGTCTGGTGATGTCTATGCGTTCCAGACTTCAGGCTGTAATTGACTGCAAAGGATTTGCAACCAAGTATTAAAAAGTGAAAGTTTGATTTATGATTATTATTCTGTCCCATTACTTTTGGTCCCTTAATAAGTAGGAGGCACATATGCAAACTGTTGTAATTCCTACACCGTTCACCTGATTTGGATGTAAATACCCTCAAATTAAAGCTGACAGTCTGCAGTTAAAGCACATCTTGTTTGTTTCATTTCAAATCCATTGTGGTGGTGTATAGAGCCAAAAATGACCGATGTCCCAATATTTATGGACCTGACTGTATATTATTACATTTCATATTTGCCCTGAATTGGGCGTTAACCCTTTGCACCCACATAACGCACATGTTCAGCAGTAAAGTGGTTGCGCTTTAACACCCACATGTCTCATATATGCGTCCATGAACAGAAGAGCTTTCTGTGCTGACAGCACGCTCAGAGTGCGCTCCCAGCACAGTGACCGAGCTGTCAAAGAAGCTCTCGGTTTCAGCTCATGATCGGTAGCTGGCAGTCCTGTGACAACTGAGGCTGGGGGCTGTTCAGGAAGGGGTTAACTTACAATATTGGTGCAAGGGAGTAACTATTTTGCGACATATCGTACAATAGAAACTGTCGCATATCACCTATTTGTAGAGAGTTTGATGACAGCGCTGTGTATAAGGTAACTCATGCTTTGTTTATTGTTACCGAATTAAAACTTCATGACAACATGGGCTATTTTTATTTTATTTTTTTACAAACGTAAACTAACCCTTTAACCCATCACTTTTCAGAGGGCATGGCATTTGTAAACAAGTTCAAAAGTGATATGCAACAGTTTCTATTGTACGATAGTGTGTTGCAAAATAGTTAAACCCTTACACCAATATCATAATTTTTTTGATGAGCAGCAGCAGTCACCCACAGATACTAAGTACAGCGGGCATATCCCACTATCAGGGGTGGACTGACCATTTGGGAACTCCGCCGCTGCCCGAGGGCCCGGGGTCAGTAGGGGGCCCCATGAGATGCTCCTGGTACCTTTTCATAGGCTTTTTTGGGTGTGGTTTGAGTGTGGGCGAGGACACAGGGCCCCATGATCCCCTGTTGCCCAGGGACCCCATGAGTTGTCAGTCCACCCCTGCCCACTATATATAGTGTAAGTGTACACATACACACCCAATAAAATTTTTTTTTTGGTTTGATGACAACGCTGTGTGTCGTTGGTTTGAATCCCAACCACAGCACCACCTACTTGGAGTTTGCGTGTTCTCCCTGTGCCTGCGTGGGTTTCCGTTGGGTACTCCAGTTTCCTCCCACACTCCAAAGACATGCTGGTAGGTTACTTGGATCCTGTCTAAATTGGCCCTAGTATGTGTATGTATGGATGTGAGTTAGGGACCTTAGTGCTCTCTGATTAGATGAGGTTGAAAGTTGGGATGGTAGCATCACAATTTCCACCTTGTCCAGTCAGAGAACATTTTGAATTCATTGAGAAATATGCAAGGCTTTCTATAAATGGCACCTTTGCTGAGTGTGAGCGTCCCCATGTGGTCACTATACAGCAGGGTAGCCACTCACCATGGCATCTGGAAGACAGGGGCCATCACTGTAGTAGTGGAGACTCTTAGGCTAGGTTCACACCCATGCAGTTCGCATTTGATCCGTTTCTGAAGTGCTTTTTGCGGTGCATTTTGTGTTTTTGCACATGCCGTGTTTTTGATGCGTTTTGCGTTTTTTTTTTCAACTTGTTGCTGGGCAGAATAAAATGCATAAAAAAAACACTACATGCTTTTCTACAGCATCTCCATTGAAGTCCACAGAACCAAAAACGCAACCTTTTATGTTTAAAAAAGTCCCTGACCCTTTCCAAAAAACACAGAGATGTGAACCTGTCCCATAGAAAATCATGTTAAATGGATCCCTGCTGTGCGTTTCTGCAAAACACAGCAGAAAATGCATAGGTGTGAACCTAGACTTACAGTGTTTTCCAGCATCTAGAGTGATCCTACAGGTATAGCACATCCAAAAAAACACATGTACCCTGATCCCAGCATAGGGTGGAACTAATAGTGTTTTTAACTATGCAATAAAAGCCATGCCTGGCCAGTTCAACTTTAGGCTCTATTCACAGTAGTGTGTTTTCAGATGCAACTTGAGCCGCACAGAATCGCATGATAAGGAAATCGCATTACACACGTACCTAGATCCAATTTGGACTTATGTAACTGCAATTAAATCCATACCTGGAGCTCAGCTTTAGGCTCTATTCACAGTAGTGTGATTTCAGATGCAACTTGAGTTGCACAGAATCGCTTGATAAGGGATATCACATTGTTTTCAATTGTGTCTGTTCATAATAATGTGACTCAGCGTGTTGTGATCTTAAAAAAGGTGCCTGCACTACAAAAAATGGCCACTGTCCCAGTCTTTAACTGGCCTTAACAGCAAGGAGCACATTGAAGAGCGACACATATCAAACAACTGAAAAGAGAACTTTTCAGCTCTAACTTGCCAGCCAGCCTGCAAACAAACCGAATTAACCTGTCTAACAGTATGCGTTTTAAAAACGGGTTTAGTTAGCACACATTTGCAAATACATGCGTAAGCTACAGAGCCTCGTCATGGCACCCCCGATATTCTGTAGTTCCTACCTCTCCAATTTACTATGGGGGCTCTTAAAATTGGAGAGTGAGGAACTACAGAATACTGGGGTGTATTTGTTGTTTGACATGCGTCGCCTGTCCATGTGCTCCTTGCTGTGAAGGCTAGTTATAGACTGGGGCAGTGGCCATTTTTTGTACTGTTGAATTGTTGGTCGAGGGGGTGCGCTGGACACGCTTCCATTGTGCTACATGCTGGGTGTCCAGTGCGCTCCTATACCTTTAAGGAGGGGTAGGCTCCCTCAGGTTCATCTGCCCTTGCAGAGCAATACAAAGCAGCATGCTGGAGCTGACAGGGGAGAGATCTGTATTTTTTTCCATACAGACCTCTCCCCCGTCAGTCACACTCGGTGATCGTCAGGTGTCGGCAGAGAATCTCCGTCCGGGATCCGGTGATCGACAGCTGTAGCTGCCAATGGCGGCGTGGGTAGGACGCACGCCCCCTACGCAGAAATACAAAATTATATATATATATATGTATGTGTGAATTTGCGCAGCCCTGCCTCCCTGTAGCAGTAATTCTGCTAGGGCGTTCGAGAAGCGGTTAAAAGTATTGCCGTGTGTTTGAACCAGCTCTCAGTCTTCTCTCAAGCAAGCACACAATGGTAATCCTCAGCCTTTCTCTGTGCTCCATTTCAGTTACACGGTTCTCCTTACTCAAAAAACTACCAGCAACGTGGAAGACTTGGCAATGCTAGGGTTGTTGGCTCAAATTCCAACCACAGCGCCACCTGCCTGGAGCCTGCAATGCTCTCCTCATGCCTGTGTGGGCCTCCCTGGCCATTCCAGTCTCCTCCTACACCACAAAGACATGGTGATAGGTCAATTGGCTCCTGTCTAAATTGACCCTAGTATGTGTAATGAATGTAAGCTAGGGACCTTAGATTGTACATCCCTTGAGGGTTAAGGACTGATGTGAATGTACAATATATATATAAAGCTTTGCAAAAATATATGGCGCTATATAAGTACCTGAAATAAATAAATGCAGCTAAACTCATTTACAACTATCTGCAGGAAGTATTTCAACTTTTTCAAGTGCAGATTACTGGCATTTAGCTGCTGTCAGATACAAAGGCCAATGTGAAATATAGCGGCAGGAATCTGCAGCAAGGGCGTCCACTGGCCCATTTCACTATAATGACAGATCATTGCAGGCTGCAGGTATTCGTGGTTGTCCACACAGCCAGCTATTACTTGTGGTGATCACTGCTGGGTGCACTACATGTACATTCAGCAGCAATCACTGCAGGTAATCACTGACTGTGCACAGTCGCAAATAGCTGCGGCCGCTGGCGACCTATCAGAGTAAAAGGGCTGGTGGGCGCATCTAGCTGCTGAGAGGCACAACAGGAATCAGAAGATTCCTGTGTCTACAATTTGCACCAGCCTTAATCACTGGTGTGAATGTAGCCTAAATGTTGGAATGAGCAATGAGATTCTCCCCACAATAATATTTATTATTGACATTGTAGTATATGTTAGGTTCATGTGTCAGCACAGATTGTCAGACTATTAGACAAACATTTGCAGCCCACTGGATCTATATAATTGTTGATTCTGGAATCCATTTTCTCCGTACATCATGAGATATTATTATCATATGCATCATAGTTACATAATTAATCAAGTTGAAAAAAAGTCCATCCAGTTCACCCAGCAGAAAATATAAATAAATAGAAAACCTCCATATACAGTACATAATCCTATACTCACAGTTGATCCAGAGGAAGGCAAAAAAACCCATAAAGCATGATCTAGTCTGCTTCAGCGGGGAAAAAAATACATTTCTTCCTGGCCCCCAGAAGGCAATTAGATATTCCTTGGATCAACAATCCCTGGTGTTATTACCTATTAATATTAAACACTTGGTAACCACGCTATAGCAGAATGACGGCTACAGCACAGTTATCCAGTTCTGGGAGGGCGTCATATGACGTCCTTCCAGAATGTGCCCTCCCGCGTGCCCCCAGCGGTACACACCCAGTGATCTATGGACACAGCTGATCATGTGATGAGGTAAAATGCCAATCACAGCGGCCTTTTATTACGTGATCATCTGTGTCCAATGAGACAGCAGATCATGGAGTAAATACAGTTGCCGTTTAGCGTGAGGAAAGTACTGCCGATAACCAGCAGCTGTCACAGAGCAGATCGGCACTGATCATCAGGGCACTGATGATCAGCTCCCTGATGATCAGTGCCCTGCAGTGCCGCCTAGCAGTGCCACCCACCAGTGCCCAGAAGTGCCTCCCATCAGTGCCATCACTTAGTGCTATCAATCAGTGCTGTCAGTCAGCACCGCCTGTCAGTGTCGCCCACCAGTGCCCATCAGAGCCACCTATCAGTGCCGCCTATCAGTGACCATCATTGCTGCATATCAGTGCAGCATCATCAGTGCCTCCTCATCAATGCCCACCAGTGCCACCTCATCAGTGTCCATCAGTGCTGTCTATCAGTGCCCATCAGTGTAGCCTATCAGTGCAGACTCATCAATGCACATCAGTGAAGGAGAAAAATTACCTGTTTGCAAAATTTTATAATAGAAACAAAGAAAAACTTTTTTTTTTCAAATGTTTTGCTCCTTTTTTGTTTATAGTGCAAAAAATAAAAGAAACAGTGGTGATTTAATAACACAAAAAAAAGCTCTATGTGTGAAAAAAATGATAACAATTTTATATGGGTACAATGTTGCGACAGCGCTGAAAGCTGAAAATTGGCCTGTGCACGAAGGGGGTATAAGTGCCCAGTAGGCAAGTTATTAATATCCAGTTATATTGTGTGCATTTAGGAATGCATCCAAACCTATTTAAAGCAATCCACTGAGCTGGACAGAACTAGTTCTTGAGGGAGTCTATTCCATATTTTCACAGCTCTTACTGTAAAGAAGCCTTTCCGTTTGTGGAGGTTAAATCTCTTTTCTGAGATTATGAAACAACGGGTTTGATTTAGCAAAAGGAGTAGAAACTATTCACTTGCAAAGTGAATATTAGTAAAAAAAAAAAAGTGGGTAAAGATGTGTTTATTGTAATTAACCCATCATGTGCTAAGTGCTAGCAAAAATCCTGTTTTAAACTTTGCCTACACATGATTTGCATGTGTAATCTCGCAGTCTAGCTTTCATTTTCACAACAATAATTACTTCATCTAGGTACTAACAAAAGGCTTCTTGTTGTATCACAAGGTGTCATCATGCCTAAGGCAGTAGTATCTCTACATACAGCCCTGCCTTACACATGGGGAGGTTGTTACACAGCTGCATAGAAATTAGCATTATATAGCAGTCTTGCTTTGTTTATGGGTAGCTTTGTCATTCAGTCCAAGTGACAAAGAAAGGGGAATTAAATGTAGATCCTGTCTGACATCTAAATACAGCAG